CAGATAGTATAGTAATAATGCATTGCATTTATCATTGAATTATATTCATTTTATTATGTATATATATTATTTATAAATATGTTTTCTGTATTTTTTTTTTTAAATTGCCATATCATATATATATATACATGTAATTTTCAATCAACTTATACTATTATGTATTAATATCTTCAATAAAGAATATTTCAGTCTTAAAAGCAATACTATTATTTGATATTATTATCGTTGTTCATATTTTTAGAATAGAAAGGTATGTAAGTATATGTATATACGATGAAAACAATGAGTTAGTATAGTATAATATTTTGTTAGTTTCCTTATTTCATATTATTTATAACATTTCTTATCAAAAATATTAATTGAGAATAAGGAAATAATAATACTACAAAAATGATATATCAATTTTGTTTAGTTTCTTGCGAAGATGTTAACATTAATGCAATTTCTTCTGTGCCATCTGCAGAGTTTGTTACAAATTTCGGAAGTATTTCTGATTCTTTTTTATTATCGTTAGTATACATGAATGTTCCATGTTCTTTCATGTTTTCTAAAAATTGTCCTTTCGTTGTTTCTGTGCCATCTAAAATACCATCTAAACAATAAAATATTATATTAGATATATTTTAAAATGTTTTGAAAAATAAACTAATTAAAAAATTAACAATTAAAATATACCATGAAAAATGGAAGATATTTTATCTTCATCATCAATAAAATAGAAATATTTGTTATTTGCAAAAGCTTCAATGTTATTAAACGTGTGTAAAGAAATATTCATGAACCATAATTTTTTTTTTTCAGCATTGATATTTGCAGATAACAATTCGATTCCCTATAGTTAAAAAAAAGATATATTATTATATATATAATTTCAAGCAATTTTACTTTATATATTTCTATATATGTATATTTTATTATTTTATGAATATTTTTATATTTATATTTTATATATACACATATCTCTTACTTTTATTGCTGTGTAATCGATACTTTGTATTCTTTCACAATCAATAATAAATAATATATTATTTTCATCATGTTTGCGAATTATTTTCATCATTTTGTTACAAAAGTAATTCGCAGCAGGATAAAATAGTCCACTATCTGGTTTGAGTATTATATATTTATCTCCAAGTTGTGTCTAAAAAATACAATAAAAAAATAATATTTGATTTCTTAAATGTAGAAACGATAATATATAATATTATTTTTCTACTGTAAATTTATATAATATTATACATTTATATCTGACTGAATTAAAAAATAATTATTTTAACTTTTTATTTCAAAATGTTTTATAATAGATGATAGTAGATGTACTAAAAATAGTAGAATATATTCTACATATAAAAATAAATGAAAAAGTCAAAATGATATCTTTTACTTACATGTATAATAAATGAATACTTTATTAATATTAATATCACAAACATATATAATAATAAGGTACTATCTTTTACCTTGCATTGAATCACTTTGATTTTTGGTCTAGCAGATGGTTGAAGAAAGAAAACCAAACTAAACAGAGCACCAATTAAAAGTCCTAATTCAACACCAAACATCACACAAACTAAAAATGTTACTATTGCAGCAACAGCATCTTTTTCTGCAATTAAAAATAAGATATTATTGATGATGAAATATAAAAATTTTATTTGAAAAAGCCAAAAAAAATGTATTATAATATATTTATTTGGTTTTTCAAATAAAATTTTCCAAATGAATATATTATACAAATTATATTCATAGATAGTTTACCGTAATATTTAATTATATTTTTATTCTTATATTATAACATTAAAATTTTGAAAAAATTTGCGCAAATTTATTCATTTCATTTGAAAATGCAATAATTTTTATTCTTTTTCTTCTTTCATTCTTTTTAATACATTTTTCAATTTCAGATATTTATCAAATATGTGTATATGATTATATAATAAATTATATTATTTTGTATTTTGCAATTAGAAAAGATTGAAATTTGATAAAATATCAGATTAAATATCTTGATACACTTATATGCAAAAGAAAAAATTACTCTATAATTAATATAAAATTTGATAATCATTTTGATTTTATTCATAATATTGTAAAAAAAATCTTAATGAAAATGATTGCAAAAACAAAAATTTTATTGTAAATAATATATTGCAATGATAATAACATTCTTTTAACTTTTCTATATATATATATATATAAAACTTTTTTCATTTAGCGAATACTATCTAAAACTACGAATCTTAAAAGTTACAAATCTTATAGATAAATTTATTATCTTATAGATACTTATTTTTGTTATAGATAGTAGTGATAAAAATTTAAGAAAAAAGAAATTAAAGGAAAAAAGAAAATAAGAAAAGAATTATTTTTTCAATAAACAGTATTTATATAGAACATTTAATTATATATTGTTTTATTATTGTATGGATAAAACTTACTGCATCCTTTCCACAACAGCTTTATTATTTTCAAGTCAATGATGAATACTACCGCGCTTATTAACACTGCTGAAAGCGTGGAACGTGGAATATAATAAAAATATGGTGTTAAGAAGCTCAATGCCAGTAATGTCATAATTCCTAGAAAAATATATTTATATTATATTATAACATTATTTATTTATAATTATTTGATTATTTGAAAGGAAAGAGAAACATATCATATATAAAGAAGGAAAAAAGTAAAGGGAAATTTTCCAAAGAAAAATCAATGAAAATATGTATATCATAATTGTTATTAATTACAATTATTTTTTTATATGTTTTTATGTATTCAGAATAATAATTTTCTTAACTTTTAACTATTTTTTTTTAGAGCTATTATTCTATTTAATATAAATGTTTTATTGTTTAATTGTACCGAAACAAAAAAATGCGAATTTTAATACAGATTATAGTGGATTAAAGCTATGATTACAATCGATACATTTTTTGATGAAATAATATATAAATTATATAATATAATATAATATATAATATATAATATATAATAAATACAGAAAATAATCAAATAAATATATTTTCGTAAGAGTAATTATAATTTTATAAGCTTAAAAATATTTTTAAACATTAAACAGAATTAAATGAAATTTTTATTTATCTTCTATTATTTCAAAATCATTTTCTATAGTTACATTTCGATTGTACATTAATTATTAGCATTAAAAGAAATTTCATTTATTAAGTAGTCTCTTTATTTTTTATTTAATCTATTTTTACATTTTCATATCAAAATACGTAAAAATATTACCGACATATATACCAGCCATAGGCGTTCGTACACCGCTGGCAGAAATGACAGCACTTCTGGTGAACGCTCCGGCAGCTGGCATCGAGGAAACAAAACTTCCGAATATATTGCACAAACCGAGCGTTAACATTTCTTGTGTCGCATTTACATTACTACCACTCGCTAAAAATACAAATTCTCAGTCACTTGTATTTCATCGATATTTTAAAACTGTGGACCTGTATTCAAAACACGTGGACAAGAATTTGCAAAATATTATTACGAAGTAATTTTCAAACTTCCCTTTAATAATAAAAATCTAATTCTCCAATTTAAGTTTTTTCTAAATCGATGTGACATCAATGCTAAATATGAAAAACTTAATGCGTATTTGGAGGAGCTCCAGTGACATCGTTTTCTGGTCGAAAATATTATTTACACATATTATCGTATCTATTTTTCATATTTATTATCGTATTATTGTTGACGAATTATATACAACATTTTATAAATATAGTTCATATTTTAAATAATACATTTATAAATTTCTCAATATAGCAATAAATATAAAATAATTTTATATGTAAAAATAAATGTAACAGATTAAAATATAATTTTCATTAATGATAATTAAATTTCAATAAAATTTCTGAAGATATTAATATTAGAAAAATAATTACAAATATTAATTAAATATATTTTATATATTATTATATATATTTTTTATTAAGTGTATTTATTAAATTATATCCCAGATTTTTTTTATTTTATAGTTTAATTTTAATATTTTAAAATTATTTTAAATATAATATTTTTTTAAATATTTTTAAAGTTATATGTAAAATTTTAAAAATTATTAATTTGTCTTATTAATTTTTACTTTTTAGTTATTTATTAAAAAATTAAAATATTAATCGAACATAGATATAGTAAATTAATTAAAATAATAATAATAAATAGTAAATATCTTTTACAAAAATTTTTTTTTATGACAATATTTTTCAATATTTTGTGAATCAAAGATTCTGATGTCATTTCTACCAAATTCTGAAAAAATATAATTTATATATTTAATTTCAAGTATTTCTAATATTCATAAAATATTTTAATTTTGTAACGTACTACGGAAAAATTATTATTAGGAAAAATTACTGTTACTATTACTATATTACTTCATAGTAATAAAATAAATAAATGCATTTCCATTTAAAAGAAAATTTATGGTAAAAAAGTATAAAAAAATAGATCAAATGATACGTTATATCATCTTGATTAAAATAAAAAAGGATTTGACGTATTATAAATTATCATCTTGTTCTTTTTTTAACTATATGATACGGAAATATATCAAATAAATTTATTATTACTTGTATTTATAAAAAGAAATACATATCTTGATTTTAAACTCAATACTTGAGATAGCTACGTCATTTAAAAGATGACTACATTGTATGCAATTTAATACTGTTCTTTATTTTTAAAGATCTTCAAAAGATATTTATGAATAAATTATTAAATGAAAAAAATTTGATACTTCTAATTTTTGAAAAAATAGCATGTAAACTTTATACAAGAAGAAAATTGTTAAATTTAAATTTATATAGTATAATTTTATTTTTCTTAATTGTTAAAAAAATATTAATATAATATTTTTATCTAAAATTTTTAAAATATTAATTTTTGCTTTAAATTAAATATTTAGATTCCTAATTTGAGTATTAAGTGTCTGTTATAAATATATAGATTGATGTTAATTAGATTTCTGAAAATAGATATGAATCTGAAATCACTAAAAAGATATTTGGGATTTTCCATTAATTAGATTTAATATTAAAACACGTGGCTGATAAATCCTTTTTAAATAATAGATACAGTCAAATCTTGTTAATACGAATGTTACAAGACAAAAACTTTAATTCTTTTTTTGAGATTCGAGTTATCGAATATATATTATATAATTTTGAAAGTAATATGTTATAATCTGATTATAATCAAACAGATTTTCATATAGTTAAAAAAAAAAAGATTTATAAGTAATATAAGAATAAACAATATAATGTTCTATAAAAGTATATACTATTAGAAAAGTTATTTAAATAATATAAAGGATTTAATGATAATTTTATACTTTTAATTTTTAATAATTTTTATAAATGATTTTTATAAATTAGTTTTAAATAAATTGGAAGTAAAACTGAGATAAATTTGAAATAGAGTGAAATATAAATTAACAAAGTTACGATCAATAAAAATATTTGTACATTCTTCTAAAAATAATCGAATTAATAATAAAAAAATAAATATGAATCAAAAAATATGAAGATAAAATTTTATGATCAATTTTTTCAAAATGTAAAATACATTTGTATTGTATAAAATTAAATAAATTAATATTAAATTGATATTATTTTTGATATAATAAATAAATAATTAATAAAAAATAGTAATATACAATAAATCTAAATTTATTTTTGTATTTTTGTAATGTTGCTTATTATCGTATATAATATGAAATATTTTTTTTATTAATTTAAATATTTATTCAAATGTATTAAAATTATATATGAAGAAATACAATACAATATATTTATTTTATATATAATTATAATTATATATTTTATATATAATTTCAATCATTATTTATATTATTGCAGAAATATTATCAGATATATTAAATAAAAATTCTTTGTCTTTTGTTAGTTAGATAAGAAATGAAAATATATTCGTAATAATATTTTTTAAATACAAGTCCACTATGTTATTAAATAATTTAAATAATTTACCAAATGCTTTAGCAATAGCTACATTTGCCAGCACTGATACCAAGGGCAATACAATTATTCCCGATCCTATGTGAGAAGTCATTTGCCAAAAAGTATAAGTTTCATTTCCAATATGAGATGAAAATGGAGGTAAGAAAAATTGGGAAGTCCAGATTGTATTTTTCCTTCAAATCAGAAAAAAAATTAATAACGAAGAATAATTCATTGTAGGAATTCTCAATACAAATTTCAATAAAATAAAGAAGAAATAAACCTGAAAGAATGAATGGTGAAGATCCTATTTTTTCGAAATAAAAAGCTATCGTGGAAGTAAATAAAATCACCAAAGCATTACGACAGATGGAGAAAAACCATAAGACTTTTTTCAAATACATCTTGTTATTTTTTTTCTTTGTTTGACTATTATCATTTCCAAAACAACAATTCATATCTTTTAGTTGCTGAATAAAAATGTGAATAATATATAATATATAATAATATATAATTGTAATTTTTTTCGGAATAAATCATTGAAAATCTCGAAATATTAAAATTCACTTCAAAATTTAAAAAATTTTAATATTCTCGAAATTTTTATATTTCGAAATTTTCAAAATTTAAATAAAGAGTTGTTACGATATGAATTTATTTTCATTTAATTAATTATATTTACATTTTATATTTTAAATTTATTTTAATTAAAAATGGTAAATATAATGTAAAGTACAGTTTTATATTTAAAAACAAAAAAGGTAAATACAGTTTGTATAGAGAATTATGGGATAAAAATTAAATTTTTTGCAAATTATAAGAATGATTATTAACTAATTATGAATTTAACAAATTTTAAAAATTAAAATTTACTAAAATTTATTAAAATTTTAATTTTTGACAAAATAAATATTAGAAAAAAAAAAATAAATTTTATGAGTTTTGAGAATTTTAAAATTCGAATGCTTCGAGATCTCATGAAATTTCAGATTTGAATTCCTTGAATTTAAAAGTCATATTTCAATTCATATCTAATTTTTTTTATAATCATAAATATTAAATTATATAAATATTAAATATATTAAATAATAGAAACTATTATTTTATTTTTGTAAATTATTATTTCGAAAAAACTTACTCTAAAAAATAAAAGGAATACTATACTGCAAAGTCCAAGAATTAAATCTGCTACTCGTACATTTTCGATGTTTTGAAATATTTTTCGCAGATTATCAACAATATTGTGTGCTTTAAATTTCAATCCTAAAAGTCCTTGCAATTGTGAAATGATAATAATAATCGAAGTAGCAGAAGTAAAACCTGATGTGACGGGTATCGATATAAAATCTACTAAGAAACCTGTATAATATAGAAAATTTTATCATTTAATATTTTTTAATTACATTATAAAATAAATGAATGATAATAAACATACATACTTATATCAATCTTGCAATAGCACATAGATTTTGATTATATTCATTAATGAAATAGATTATAATAGAATAGTATTATACATATAGAATTTGTATAATCTTTTGAATATGTAAAACTTAATATGTAAAAGTAAATATTTAAAAATATGAATGAATTTTTTTAGAATGTTTTGTAAGATGTAAATATGTACTTTGAAGTCAAATGAAAAACATTAATATGCTATTGCAGAATTAATAAATGCTATATTCTTTCTTAATTTATTACCTTGTATACAAAAAAATTAATTTTTTTTATATAATAATTTTTAATTAAATATCATATTACTTGCAATTTGAGCATTATATTTGTAAATATATATTAATTTTGCCATAATAATAATAGTGTATAAAAAAATTAAGCAAAAAAATATTATAGATATATTTTTACATTTTTATAGAATGATATTTAGAAATTATATGACAAAATAAAAGAAAAATATTTTGTAAAAGAAAAAGAGTTTAATATTTTGTAAAATATTTGTTTTGTTTGATAATTTTGTTTAAAATAATTTTTTTAATATGATATTTCTTTTATTAACTCTTACTATTATTTTTACTATTACTTTTATATAAATATTACTAATATAAAAAATATTTAAATTATATGACATAATTAAGTTAAGTTTGATTAAATAATACATAAAATAATGAAAAAAAATAAAATAATAAATAATATATAAATAAAATAAAAGTAATATTATTAAATCCAATTTAAAATTTAAAATTTATGAATTATAATAATATATTTGTATACGGGTAATAAATCCAAAGATAGAAAATTGTTCGAATATTGTATATTATTTAAGATAGATATGCACGATTTCATCAAAATAATTAGTATGCTATTAATCTAATTTTTTAAAATATTAATTTTGTAAAAAGTATAGTAAAAGTATATTTAAGTATAATTTTTTTTCAACATTAATATTACTTATTTAATAATTTTAATATTAATTTTTGGATTTCTTATGAATGCTGAATTTGAAAATATTAGCAGAATTGTGCACATCTATGTATAAATCATTACTGAAATACACAAATGCAAGTCAAGTAGAACATTCATTCCTATCTTATGATTTTTAAAATATTTTTTTAAATTATACACATATAATATATAATATTATATACATATAATTATATATATATATATATATATTATATAATTTATACTTT